GGGGTTGGGGGAGGATATAGGGGGAAAGGGGGAAGAAGGGGAGATGGGAAAAGAGGGGTGAGGAGAGCGAAGTCAGGGGGAAGGGTTGCGTTGCACTGAGATTCGAAGGGCAGCGTTGAATGGGCCCAATCAGCCCCCGCCTCCCCTCTCCCTCCTGTCTGTAAGCCCTTTGCCGTCATTGTTCTCGTGATCCAATAGATCACACAAGCGGGGAGGGCTACACGCTGCAGCCACGCTGACGTTACTGTTACTGTCAGGAAACATAATTCGAACCCGCCGCCGCAGCCGCAGTCTGAAAAGAGGGTTCACGTCATTCAGTGTCCAGCAGCACAGAATTTCCATTCCAGCGAAAGCGCAAAGGCAAGCCGTGCTGACATTCCCGCCCATTTTTATCGTCATTATTTTTACAACTTTTCTCTCGTTCGACGCAGCCAAATAACAAAAGCGACCGTAATGACCTCATCGTCGGGCTTTCAGAGCAAGATTCGGATTCCTCAACAAGAACGACCGAAATGCCTTTCCAAGAGGAGGAAGAGGAGGGAGTGCCAAAGGCACGGCCGGCCGGGGGGCGAAAGATATTAATCACACTCGGAGTCGCCTGACCGGCTGGGTACCTCAGGAGGGCGTCTGTCCCGCCGAACCGAACTAACTGCGAAAACAAAACGAGCGGCAAACAGGGGAGAGGAGTTCGAGGAGTTGGAGTCTGCGCGCGATGTAAGTCGCCGATAAATAATGTGACGCCAAAGAGGCGGGCCGAACTTATTGTGGTATTGGAAATGAAGGGAGAATGAGAAACACGACGACATTACAACGCGGCGCGAGGACGGGACAAGGGCGGAACCAGGAGGAGGAGCTGACGACGTTAGAAGGACAAGCTGGCTGTTTCAACCAGGTGTAATAAAGGTTTATTGTTTGTTTATGCTCCGATCCGGCAAAAAACAATTTAATTAAAAATACAGTCGTGTGCTCCAGACCAGTAGCTCATCCCGAGTCGACGTGACTGGACTGAAAGCGGGGCGGAAAGAGTAGAGTTGACCGAAAGGTGGGCGCTTTACTACGGGAGTAATCCTTTCCCTTACCTCTCGCTTCCCCCCTCCCCTTCCATCTTGCTCTCTCTCTCTCTCTCCTCTTGGCAGATTGGAGTGGGTGTTCCAGAACAGTTGTCTGTGGGGGCTTGGTCTTGGTCGGGCGGGCTGTAGCCGACGGTGGGAGCACCAGTCACTCTGGAGCCGTGGGCCTGGGCAGCCAGGACGAGGGGGGGAGGTGGGGGGACTCCAGACGAAGTGTGTGCCGCCTTGTATGGTCATGCTCGGGCTCGGGCCCGCGTCCACCTCTCTCCCTCTCCCTCTCTCTCCCTCTCCATTGCCCTCTCTCTTTCCGTTCCTCTCCCACACACAACCGCGGCACAGGTGTTGCAGTGGTGCTGCCGAGGCTCGACCGACTCGGCCAGCAGGAAGGTGGAGGCGAGTGTATGGCCGCACTAAAATTCGGTAAAAGAGAGGAAAAACTTGGCGTTTCTAACACCACCTGCCAACTGCTCTTTAAATTTGTTTTCTCCTACATGTCGTTTGCTGTGCACTCACCCGTGCTGCTGCCACCCCGAACCCCCTGCTGCTGCCGGAAATCAGGTGTGGCTGACGGATTCCATTCTCCCGCCCACCTTTTCCTCCCTCTCTCTGTATTCTACCTCGGCGCACACGAGGGTGAAAGTGAGAGAGAG